CCCCAAAACCCCAAAACCCCAAAACCCCATTAGGGTATATCGCTTCATATTTTTAAAGTTGATATTTATTATAATTAAATAATAAAATATGAGCGAAGAGGTGAGAACGAAAATCCCACTCGATTAATCAAAGCATTACGCCAAGTCTTGGTAAAAATCCCAAGAGGAGTTGGTAAGTTCGCACTCATTCTACCTCCAGGAACAAGCCTTATTTACCTTACTATGCTATAGGATGCTTATGATGACTTGCAAAGAAGAAAGATCAACTATCAAGTCCCCGAGTACGTTCAGAATAATGAACTCATTAACTTCGGTCTATCATCTCACGAAGTCACTGAATGGCAAATTCAATGGACTCCAAAGGCTGAGAGAGATCTCGCCATCGTAAGTTATCTTTTCCAATAATTAAACCTCTTAATAAATAGTTGAGAAGCTGGTTCAAGAAAGAAAACATGAACGATATTGTTACTAGACCAGTCTACAGATCAGACTTCAACTGGACTAACTACGCCAGCAGAGCTCAAGTTAGATGCGCTCTCGGACTCCTAGTCATCAGAGAACTTCCCATTAAGAACTTCTACGTGAGATGCTGGCTCGCCTACGCCTGGGGCGCTTACTTCATCGTTAGAGGTCTTGGCAGAGGTCTTTTCTCAAACAGACCAATTATTCTGTATAACAATGCCTTCAACGCAAAGACATTGGTAAACTACCCAGACTTGTTCTTCTATACTTGTACAAGAATCTTGCCAAAGAACCCACCCGTCCCAGACGCTCACAGAGAGTGGAGATCCAGACAGACTCCAGTCTACCATCAATATCACAGAACCACCTATAGATACAGAAACAGAAAGCCAAGATACATTCCATGGGATGGAAGTTAGAACCAACCAGTCATGCCATACATGATCGACATCGGCACAGACGTTATCAACGGTACCTTCAAGAGAAACTGCAACACTGTCGCTCAGCTCAGATGAACAATCAAGGTAGTCAGATAACTAATCTACAGATTTATGTTAGTCATGCAGGCATGCGGGGAAAGAGGTCTAACTACAACCTTTTTCTTTATTTAAAAATTCAATTATTATTTGTGATTGCCCTCACTCTCAATTCTCACTATTGAGAATTAAGGGGTTTTGGGGTTTTGGGG